ATTATATTAAATATAAAATTAATAATATATTTTAGATATATTATTAATTGGAATATATGTAAGACATAAAATGAAATGCAAAGACAGTGTACTGCTTAGTTTAATCATTTTTGGTGAATATTCAAGCAATAATTTTGGCATTTTGTCTTTATCCATAATATTCCGATGATGCAGAATCAAACCTTTTTCCTTACCATAAGTACCTCTGTATACAATGTTTTCCATAGTTGAATCGCCCATCAGTTGCAATAAAAAAAAACTCTCCCCTTGTTTTTCTGCTTCAACATATCAAAACAGAAGAAGTTACTAAATCTTTCTTTTCCATGTTTTAACTTTTAGCTATGTTTGTGAAAAAAATGAACCTATTAATAGGCTAAATTAGTGGCCCATTAATGGGTATATTTTCCCCACAGACATTATTAAATCAAAGCTTCAAAGCTAACTCAATTTCACTTTTTCTAGTTCAATTTCTCCCACAAATTATTCTTTTTTCCTTGCTGGCATTTCATAATATCTTGGGGTTTCCTTATACCGCAACTTTCAGTGTATACAGTAAAAGCAAATTTTATTAATAATACAGGGTGTTCCACTTGAAAGTACCCAATTTTAATTTGCCATATAAAATGGTTTAAGATACATAAATGCAAAAAAAGTGGCATCTAGTGGAAAACACATCAAGTTTTATAGTTTTTTTTTCATATGACACATCATGGTATGGTATGCCCGATAGCATGGCCCCCACAACCTCTTAATCCAACCACTTATCTTTCATGTAAGCCCACAAGAAGAAATCTATGGTTTATGTAACTTTGGTCAGACCTTCAGGAGTGCATCATTGCAGCCATGCAATGATGCACTCCTGGCAGGCAATTTCTTGCTATGTACACTGCTGCATGTCCTAGCATCTTGATGTTGTCACTGACTGCTGGAGCACACAGACATGGTGATTTTTTTTTTCAATGAAATTTGGTAAGTTTTTCTCTCATTTAAAATCTTTGGAAAGCTTATATCTTTAATCATTAATTTTTTTATAGTGAAATCAAATTGGGGTACTTCTAAGCAGTACACACTTTTTTAAACATTGACAATCATGTTTTTGATTATTATTTGACAATTATCTAATGAATATTCTTATTTTTTTCAACTCTGATGGAAAGATCAAACAATGAGAGTGGATAATAAAAGAACAAAGACTAGAATTTCTTCTTCATTGTCCCCTCCCCAAACTTATTTTGTCAAAACTCATTTTTCTGGGAAAAGTGCACACAGTATTTTCATTTAACTAGAATTTTTCTTATTTTGGTGTGATTCTTATTTGCATAATTTAAAAATAACTTTAATTTTATCAAAATTTATCTTCTTTAAATTATAAAATATTATAAATTTAAAACAAAATGCTGGTAATATCACTTATATTACTTCATACACACAAATTTCTGATAATTCATCATGCTCTTGTAAAGACATTGCCACAATAGGATCTGTTATTGGAAATTTTCGAACCCAAGTCTTCAGATCAATATTGGTCTGAAAAATTGAATACAAATAAATACTTATATATATATATATAGGTTTTAGTTAAGTTGACAATTTAAATTTAAGTTAACTAGTAATTGATAAAAAGCTAGATTTCAGCTTGGTTTATTGACCTTCAGTATCCTGCTACTTTGTGTTAACTAATCAATCTAGTTTTACTAAGAATTAGCAATTAACTTATATGACCAGTCAATTTTGCTCATTATGGGAGACCTAACTCACAATAAGGCTTACTAACATGGGTAAGGATACATTTATGCAGACACGAATAGAGGGGGGAAATCAAAAGGAAACTTTTAGGATCAGAATTCAACTCGTGATGCAGTTTATGTATAAGAGGGGAATGGTTGCACTAGTTTCCGTCGTGTCAAAAGTTCAACTTGTTGAACTTTTTCTCTCCTCTTGAGTTTGCGCATGCACAGTAATTCAGCAGCCTTACTTTCATGCAAGGACAAGAATAGTAATGATGGAGCACACAAATCTGTCAAATATGAAGAAAATGGTCTAAGTAGCTGCCAAAACACAGGGAGGTCATGAATATTTTTCTTTAAACAAAACTACTTTATTATTTCATTGTAAAATTCATTGGACTTTTCCTTCCTATTTTTGCATGAATGCAACTAGAGGAAAAAAAACAGTACTCCTGTCGGCATATGACATTTTTTGTTGTCCTGTTTGTCTCTCTCCTCTTGTATTTCTTACATCTGCATAAACGTAAGTGTTGAAAATGATGGCCAATCCATATTATCTGATGTAAATTATAAAGATACAGATTACATTCAAATTCAGAACCCACAGTATAAAGGGTGAAACTTTATCACACAGCCATTTGCCAGTGTAACCAGATACTGAAGATTCTACTTTATGTAGTGCTTAAACAAATGATTTATTTTATCACATATCCTCTTTATATGGTATATTTAAATTAGAATAAAATAAGATTATTTTGTACTTTCAATACAATATCTTAATACTAGTAAAAATTTAATTATACAGTACTACTAAGAATTACACTTTAAAAATTGTAACTTTATAAAACAGCATTAATAATAATTACATATATTTTAATAAAAGTAATTATAAATACCTTCAAAATGCTTAAAGTAGACTCTAAACTGGGTATGGTAATCAGTCGAGTTTTAGGTTTAGTTATATTTTTTTTCAAAAATTCCCATGCCTTTATCTGTTGATCTTCTGTTTGAAAAAATTCAAACACGTTATTTAATATAATAATATCTGCAGATTTAACTGCTTCAGGTTGATTGCAGATATCATCACAGATTACCTGAAAAAATTGAAAGTTAGATTAAGGCTTGTTTATTTTGATTTAAATCCATGACTTGGCAACTTTTTAAATCATTAATTAACATTTTAGATAAAATTTTTAATGTAAACTCAAACTAAAGAAACTTATTAAAACACAAATTAAGTTTTTTATTGCATATTCTGATGAAACAGTGCCGTCTTTTATCTGTTTTTACTGTCACAACTAGGTGCATAGACAGACACTGGGCATTTCTGACATCAATCTTTATTCGGGAATATCTTGTTGGCTGAGACACATTTCGGGCGTAAGCCCCTCTTCTATCATTTTAAAAAATAATCTTTTTAATAGATTATTATATTAATAAACAAAAACCAGAATGAAACTTATAAAATAGTTTTTAAGAAAATTGACAAGGATTGAAAGCATCTTTTTTCACAAATGATTTGGGTGGGACTTTGATAGTATAATCAGATGAGGAAGAATAGAGTAGCTTATTTTAGTCATTTTGACCCAGATATGGAACTATTCCTCAATATTTGACCATCTGTAAAAATTTAATGCTCTAATTTAGATGGTCCATTATACCAGCATCTTTACTTTGCAATCATTCAGGCATCTGTCAATATTTTCATGTTTTGTTTCTTTATATAAAATGAAAAAATTATCTATTATATCTGAAATTAACGAATAGATTCATAAGATTAAAGTTTCTTCTTTAAGATAAGAATATTTATGTGTACAGCATTAACAAATTACTGAATGTATGACATGATCAAAAAGTTACCACATCTTGTCATTTTCACATCAGAGCATGTTTTGGCAGACCATTCAACATTCCTTTTTCTGGTTCAATATCTAGGAAACAAACTTGCTTGTTCTTTTTAAGCATGATCTTTACAGGTGATTGAATGACTGCTCTGTATGACAATGATTTCTTCTGCAACTTCTCTGATTGTTATCCTCCAATCTTCAGAAATTAAATTCTTAACTTTCTCAATAGTGTTGGGTGGTCTCATCATTTTTGGAGTCATCTATGGCTGCAATACAGCCATATTTAAACCTCTTGTACCATTCAAATAATATTGTTAAATTTTATTGAAGCTTCTCCAAAAGCTTTTTTTAGATCATCAAGAAGTCTTCACTGCCAATTTCTCCAAATGGAAGCAAAACTTCAATCATATGTGATATTTGTGTACAGTACATCTTCCATTGAAAACTTGATGAAATGTTAATGTTAAATGCTCCCAATCAAATTTTCTACAAATATACACACTGTATGCAATTGTTTTTGCACATACAGTAAAAATCAAATTTGTCTGCTTTTTAATTTTTCTACTCTAAAAATAAGAACAGAAAAATTAAAAAGGTGGTTTTAAAGCCAATTCAGGAACTTATTATTATTATTATTATTAAGTGTGTGTGTTGTGTGAATTTCATATAACAACTCCGTCAATTTTTGTCCAATCCAGATAAAATGGATATAACAAAACTTTAATGTTCTGACAAAGTATAGGCTACTTATTTTGCCGAAATAATAGATATAGAATAAATCGATAATTAATTTATTCGATTTTGGATCAGTGATCGCACTTATGTTGCGGTGACATCAATGACCTCATTTAGTTCATGCTTGATGACAGAATTTCCCTTAATTTGGCAAATGGCATATTTTAAAAACTTACTTCATTAAATTTAAAAACTTTAAATAAAGGATTATTATAAAACAACTTTTTACAGCAACTGCATGTCATTCTATTATCCAATTAAGAGTAACGATCTAATGAGCCTGTTGTTTAAAAATGTATTATCATGCATTAAGTATGTTTCAATGGGCAGTATAAGCTACTTAATTTGTGGTAACACTAGCTACTCTCTTGAAATTTGCACTCTTCTCAATTCTTCAATCTCTACTTTCTCACAGTCCAGAAATATGCTTCTCACTCTCTGTCCATGCTGGAAAGTAATGGCACAATAATCAGCGATATACAGGGTATTGCTGATTTATTGGGTGAAACATTTTCTGCTTCATCCAGCAATATCACGTATTCAAGGAATTTTCAAGCTTATAAAGCCCAAAGAGAAAAACAGTGTTTAAACTTTTACTCCTTATCTAATGAGGAATATAATGTGCCATTCACTAGAATTGAATTACATACAGCAATCTCTCGCTCGGGGAATAGTGCTGTAGGCCCGGATAAAATCCACTACAGCATGATTAAAAATCTGTCAAACAATTTCTAATCTCTTGCATCTGTTTAACAGAATATGGACAGAACATACTTTTCCTGACTTTTGGAGGCTATCTATCATTATTCCCATTCCCAAACCTGGTAAAGATCACAAGAATCCCTCTAATTACAGACCAATTTCTCTGACAAGTTGTCTCTGTAAACTTTTCGAGAGAATGGTAAACAGGCGTCTAATGTATATCTTAGAGAAAAAGGAATACTTTTCACCACATCAGAGTGGTTTCCGTAGGAACAGAAGTACCACTGATAACCTGGTAAACCTTGAAACATCTATACGCGAAGCGTTTGTTTGAAGACAGCACTTAGTGTCTGTGTTTTTTGACATAGAGAAGGCCTATGATCGCTGTTGGCGATACGGGATACTTCGTGATCTACACCAATTTGGATTGCAGGGTAATTTGCCAATTTTTATAAAAAACTTTTTACAGAATCGAAGATTCCAAGTTAGGATGGGCAACACTTTATCTAGGCTCTTCACACAAGAAGAAGGTGTTCCTCAAGGTTCTATTTTGAGTGTGACTCTGTTTCTAATTAAAATTAACAGCATAGCTAACTGTCTCCCTCCCAGTGTGAAACACTCTTTGTATGTGGATGACTTTCAGATCTCCTGTCAGTCTAGTAATATGAATTTCATTGAGAGACAACTTCAAACTTCCCTAAATCACATATATAATTGGTCCAAGACCAATGGGTTTACATTTAATGCAGCGAAGACATCGTGCATCCACTTCTGCCGAAGGCGTGGTTTGCACCTGGATCCAGAAATTCACCTAAATGGCGATAAAATTCCAATGGTGAATGAGGCTAAGTTTTTGGGTGTTTATTTTGACCCAAAACTGACATTTTTGCCACACTTGCGCAACCTGAAGAGTAGATGTTTAAAATCTCTAAACCTTTTAAAGGTACTATGCTGCTCATCCTGGGGAGCAGACAAAGTTTCTATGCTCAGGATTTATAGGGCCCTTGTCCGCTCTAAGCTGGACTACGGTTGCATTGTTTATGGCTCTGCGCGAGAATCTACTCTTCGGATGCTGGATCCAATTCACCATCAAGCACTACGTTTGTGCACTGGTGCTTTTCGAACTTCTCCTGTACAAAGCTTGTATGTGGATGCTTATGAGCCTCCACTATCTATCAGGAGAGAACAGTTGTCTCTATTTTACTATATAAAACAGAAATCTCACACTAAACCTTCAGTTGATTGTACAGTATTAGATACTCAGCTGAAAAGGTTATTTGAAGCTCGCCCAAGCAGTGTCCCTTCATTCGCCGTAAGAATGGAGAATGTGAGTAGCACAATTGATCTAAACACAGGCAACATTTCACAGCTAGAGGTCTGTAGTATATCACCTTGGTCAACTCCTTTGATAAGTGTTGATTTTAGCTTAAAGCAATTTCCTAAGGAATCCACACCAGACTACATCTACAGACAGCACTTTGCAGAAATTCAACACCGTGACAGGAATTTAATTCCTATTTATACAGATGGATCTAAATCTGATGATTACGTTGGCTCAGCCTTTGTCTGCCAGGATGAAATCGTGGCAGAACAAATTGCATTGAATTCTTCCATCTTTTCTGCAGAGTTGCATGCTATTTATCTAGCTTTAAAGTATATAAATAGGAAAGGTCATCGTTCCTGTGTTATTTACACTGACTCAGTTAGTGCACTTCAGGCTTTGATTTCATGTGAACCTAGTTCTCACTCTATAGTGATTAAAATTCGTAAGCTCTTTTGCCATCTTACTGCGAGTAATTTCTTTGTAAAATTTTGTTGGGTCCCAGGCCATGTAGGTATAAAAGGGAATGAAGAAGCTGACGCAGCTGCAAAGTCAGCTACTCCTTCACAGCATATAATGCGTATTGAAGGAGGCGATTTGAAGCTAGTAGTTAAAAAACGACTAGCAGAGAGATGGCAAAACGTGTGGAATGCACAAGTCCACAATAAACTACATGAGATCAAGCCAAATATAGAAAATTGGACACACAATAAACAGTATGACAGGAGATCTGAAGTAATTCTTACTCGTTTGAGAATTGGGCATACTCGGTTGACTCATCAATACCTTTTGAAAGGTGAAGACCAGCCAGTATGCGAGCATTGCAACTGCTTTCTAAGTGTAAAACACATGCTTTGCAACTGCACAGCTTTTTATCAAAGTCATAGACAGCATTTTGGAAATGCAAGTCTGAGAGAGATTTTGGGCCAGAGGCCAAATCTTGACAAATTATTGAACTTTTTGAAAGTGAATAACATTTATAGACATATTTAATTATTTATCTAGGTTATGTTTATATATATACCTTGTTGATTATTTATTTATTTATTTATTCATTTATGTATATATCTTGTTATTATTTATATGTATATTGTTATATGTGGTTTTGTTATTGATTTTGTTATTTATTAGTTTATTTATTTATATTGAACATCTTATATATATATATATATATATATTTATTTATTTATTTATATATACCATTTGCTATGGCGCAGCTTGGCCTGTATGGCCCTTGCGCCAATAAACTCTAACAAACCAACCAACCAACCTCACAGTCCAGAGTCCTTCATGCTTAGTGGGGGAATTTCTAGTAACTTCATAAGATCAGTAGATAAATTCAGATATTTTTTGATAGCATAAACCAACCTTTATCCTGTTTATTTTCTGTCAACTTACAAATACTCATTTATTGGATTTTGGAATAATTAAATTTTTTTAAAACTGAATTTATTAAAAATACTCACTTCAATTCTGTCTTCCATTTTATGTTTTTGAATAATCTGACGTTGAATCTTGCAGAGATCCTCGTTTAACTCTATGCCAACTATTTTTGGAATTCTTGTGTATAAATATGCCTAGAAAGTTTTTAAATATTTATATCACATGACACACAAATTTAAAAATATAAAATAATACTTACTCCATACAACATAGCACCAAGTCTTGAACCAACATCCAAGATGCACTGGGCATCTGAGAAGGGAACAAGATTATTAAAAATGAATTCAATTCTTCTTCTGGATGCAGAATGGGATATAAAAGCTGGATAAATAAATAATTAAAGTTTAATTTTTAAATTATAATATGCCTTTTCTTTTAGATTTGATAAAGTAAACTGCATACTTAAAGGAGCTATTTCACGTGAACGACAGTTCTTGCAATAGTTTCTAGTTAGTTTATTCTCTTTTTCCAAATCATCAAGTTCATAATTTTCATATAAAAATGCATCAACGTGTTCAGTAAACTGTGGATCACAGTCAGCATTCTGTTAAAAAAAAATTTATATATATTACTAAAACTTTCACTTACTGTGATTCAATTTAAATTTTAGAACATCGTTTTGTGTTCTTATAATGATCATAGGAATTTGTTCTTTGTAAAAGAACAAATCAGGATTTAAAGATCATATTATTGATAATATTTTCAATTTGACAATGAATTAGAATAGAATAAGAACATATTTTATAATTATTTTTAAAAAAGCAAGTTTTGATTTATATATAAAATATATATCTTTAATCTTAACTAAATTCATATGCTTTATCCTATGTCTATATTTAAATATATAAGATAGAAATATTTGTAGAAAATAATTCTTTAACAATACTATACACTTCTGCAGATATGGACATCCTTATTTGAAGTCCAATTTTAATACCATCCACTCATGATCACACACACACCTACACTAATACCCAATCAGGTGCCATTTCAACCTTTTGAATGTTTACATAATCTAAAGATTGCTCAAAGCAAATCAAAAATGTTTGTTTTTCATTAAATTTACATTTTTGAAACTAGAGTTTTGGTTTCTGCTGAGTATTTCTTTAATGACTCACTATTTAATTAAGGTGAAATGAATCAGACTTCCATAAATCAATAGTTAAATTGAATAATTTTTACATTTTTAAATAATACTTACCTCTCCTTTCTTTGGTTGAATTACTTTTTCTGATGGTAATATTGCATTGAAAGGCACTAGACTTTTAATATCTTCTGCAATATCACGAAGCTGCATATAAGCAATAGCTGGTCCTTCACCACGGCAGTCTATGGACATAAAAAAATAGAAAATTTATTATTATTCTAACAATAAAAAATTCTCAAAAGATAGATTACAATAAGACAAAAATGATAAATATTTTCTTATAATTTATTTCATAAGATTATTTCTGAGATGTTGTATTGTAAAATAATTATACTAATTTATTAAATTTTTATAGAAATTTTGAAACTAAAGATCGTAAATTTTTGTTTTCCCCCAAACACCTATCTGTAATTGACAGATTTTTTTAAAATAACTGTTCATTTTCAAAGTTACACCTGTTTATATTACAAAAATAAGTATAGTTATAACTGTTACACAATACCTAATGTAAAAAGAAAGTTTTATTTAAAGTAGATAATTATATAGATAACAGTATTTGTTATCCTTCTATTAATATACCAATGAAACAGAATATAGATTATTTGTTGAAAATTTATACTAATGTTTCTTTAAAATATTTTGAAATTTAAATTTATAATAATCATCTCTATTCTATTTTATTGATATTTAACCTAAAAATTCCCTGATCTTATTAGAGAGGTTGAGGCGCACGTTTTAAACGTGTAAACATGTACGTGTGACGTTCGGCGCCGCTTTCCCGTAAGCCTAAAAGTTTGACAATGGTGTTTGGAATGTCGAGCGAAACACCACCGACTATCCAAACACCATTGTCAAACTTTTAGGCTTACGGGAAAGCGGCGCCGAACGTCACACGTACACGTTTACACGTTTAAAACATGCGCCTCAACCTCTCTATTGATAGGTATCACACATACCAAATAATATTTTTATGATAAAAAAGAATGCTAACAAGATGAAAAATATCAATCAATCAAGCACAAAAACTAGTGAAAAACAATTTATCAAAGAAACAGAATATCATATTTCATAAGCTGTGATAAACTTAATGATTTTCTAGGTCGGGTGGGTAACCCTTCACAAGTCTAGCAAACGTGGGCCTCCGACAGCTGTTTTCTGGTATGAAACCCAGGTATCACATTAAAAAGTAGATACCCATCATCTTCAGAGTTGTATATTTTAACTTAATAGAATAAACTTTTATTTTGGAAACCACTAAAAAAAGGATTTATAGGCAAATAAACAAATTTGTTCTGTCCTTCCAATCTGACGTTCACCAAAAGGTTAAGAACCACTCCATTTTTAATGGTTTCCAAAATATGTGAGTATATCTGGAAAATATTGCTGATTTTAGCTTTAAAATAAACTTTATTGAATAGATCTATACCAAATATAAAATGTAATAAAGAAACAAATAAGAAAATGAAACAAACAGCCTATTTCCAAGACATCACTGTGATATACTGATTAACAAGCAGAATTGGCAAATTAGTGAAAAATCTGTTAATTCTAGCTTCTCTGTAGCATCATCTTGCCACTAGATCAAATAATAAACTCCAAAAATTTTGGTTGGCATATGAAAACATTTTGTATCAGATTTGTCACAGGCCCATCCAAGCTCTAGGTTTTATAAATTGTGTTACAGTAAACCGGTTTGTTAATGAATTTTTAGAAATGAACAAAACAAATGAATATTTCAGATAATTAATTTTTATAAAATGATTACTTAAATTATAAACAATGATTTGATTAAAATTTTACTTATTTATGGTTTGAAAACTGAAAATTTTTATAAATTATTTTGTTATACAGGATACTCCCACATAAAACGGACCATGCTCGCTGATTGAATAAATTATTACAATCTTCATATTGGAAAAATATGGCCAATTGGAACAAAACAAAATTAGGAAAAACTGAAAAAAATAGTCTTATTCAAAAAAACATTATGGAAACTTTTATAACTAATGATTTGTTGCTTACGGCAGGTCAGTTTCATGGGGATGCCCATATATAAATTTATTGTTATTAAATATTTTAAACCATTTTTGTTTTCATACAAACTATGTTTACCTGTGTGGGCTGGACAACTTGGTCCACTAACCCTTAAGCTTAGTTCACATCGAGCGCAATTTGCTGGCAAAAGCGAAAAACAGAGCAAATAATCCGTCAAACGAGTTATGTTTGACTGGTTATTTTTTGCTTTCACTAGCAAATTGCACTCTGTGTGAACTAAGCTTTAGACTTAACATTGTGAACTTTAACCTTGTACATCTTCGGTCGCAGGTCAAATTTTAAAATGCCATTTGTGTCACAACCTAGACCAAGAAGAATTATAATGTGCACAAAAATGATTTAAAATCGATTAAGCAATTTCATAGAAGTTAACTGTCACATGAACATCAAAGTCATTTCGTTAAATCAAGTGGAGCAAGGCGGATCACTGCCTTGTTCCACTCGATCATATGAAATTATTGTACAATATATATTGTATTTTACTATAATAAAATACAAAATAATAAAACAAAGANATCTGAGTGGGAATGGAATTTTTCTCATATAGCTTACATATGGTGTTCTAAAAGATTGTCTTTCATTTCTCATTCTGTTTACTTAACATGCAGTATGTGTGTAAAGAAAAAAAATCAAGTATTAAATAAATTGACATCTTTAAGATTAATGCTAATGGTGTGTGCAATTTCTTGATAATTCAATTTAATCTAGCCAACACCTAGATTGATATTAAATTCTTGTATTCTCTTTATAAAGAATTTCATCATGATTATGTGATTTTCTTACTAAAAATAATAAATTTGTGCTACAAAAACAAATTTTAAACTATAAAATTATATTAATTTTCAAAAAATTCTCTTAAAACGTTATATTTATTATCTACAAAATTTATTTGACTTTTTCAAAGTGGATATTTAATATATTATCAACAAACTGGAACGTATTTACTCTTACAAAGCCAATGTGTTCAACGTAACTTACATTAGAGATAGCGCAAACAACACGTGACTATGACTTTACCTTGTATAAACCATCTTCTGTTGATGTAATTTAAGAAATCTGCGACGTGATATTCATCTACGCCCTCTAAAAACTTATCGAAGGCGTCCTGAGCCTGTTCTAAATTCATTTTTGACATAACTTCGCGTAACGATGGCAATTTCGTACACACACAACCTACAAGCACAAGCTCCTACCGGCAATAACAATTGTGGCCTGCTTTTACAGTATTACGAAATATATACTCGCGCCTCTAGCGTAGAAATATGGTACTAATGGGAGTGTACCTGCTACGGAAAAAATACACAAAAAAAAGGTAGAATTGTGCGTAAATTGCTTACTTCTCGTTGATTGTCCTTCTTTTAAATCGACATAGCTTTCTCCCGCTTTATATTCCCTTCGAATTTAAAAAATAAACAAAAAGTACACGAAGAACTAAGGGGAAAAAACTGGGTACAAAAGCTGAGCTTAAGTTGCGATCATTTTCAATTATGATTTCAGAACTTTTATTATTAATTATTCATTTATTTTTATTTTTGAAAAGACAAATAAAGCGTAATTTCTATCAGAAACTAATTTATTGGCAATAAATATTTTATAAGGAACAAGGAGAAAAAGAGGCATTTAACAGTCTTTCCTATCTTCTATATTCCTATGGGATGTACTGTACAGTACAAAAAGGTATTTTGTGAATGGTTAGTTTACAGGTTATAAAACGTAAGATGGAAAAAGAATAAAAATATAAAAAGTTTAGATTATAAAGAATATAAGTCGCACAGAGTGAGCAGTGGTGCGTTATCCAATGGGAAAAAAGGGCAATCGCCTGGGGTCCCCGCCAGCAGGAGTCCCCAAACAAATCTTTGATAATAAAATATTTACTCTAAAAAATTTCCCCGAAAAAAATGCCTGGAAGTCAAACTGTACATGGTGGCCTCTTAATTCAAATTTGCCTGGGACCTAAGCTATAACGCGCTACTGAAAGTGAGTACGAAGGACACGGATCCTTTACGATATGGTTTCCTTCAAATCCATACTTAACATATGACAATTCGTTTTAAGATATTATGAAAGAAAAATTCTTCAACTCATCGTTTTTTTCACTTGCTGTAACATGGTGCTACGACAGTTACAACTGAAGATCAAAAACAACTATTAAGATAGTTTGTTTTTTTTTAATATTTAAACAAATTTCAGTTTTAAAAATGCTTACTTTTAAACTTGATATTTTCGGAATTTTCAGCTTAGAAGAGTATAAAAAATATTAATAATTTTGTATAACGCCCGGCGTCTATTAATTACGTTTACAATTTAAGGGGGAAGAAGGTGGAGGCATTCTCTAAATGGACTTTTTTTTAGTGGTGTTAGTGACATGAATTCGTTCTTATAAACAGAACCGAGGAGAGCTGGGGACTTTTTCCTACGCACGAAGAAAACTTAGGAGCCCATAGTGGTAAGTTATTACTCTCTATAAATTAATGCTATTTTTACTGATAAAAAATGAAATCTTTAAGTGCATTTTATTAATAAAGAAGCATTCTACATATTTCATCTGTTTTTTTTAAAAAATGGCAAAAGGGGACCACTCTACTCCGAGCCCCATACAAGTGCTGGATGGCCATGCTTATAGGCCCATTTATTAGTCATATGAATAAATTATCAGTAAGAAAATATTTGCATAACTTTTCAAAGTAGTTTATTCAATATTATTAACATAGTTTATATTTTATTGTTTTATTAAGTTTCTTCATCTTCAGTTCCAGTAAACGCTGGAATAACTTCTTCCTTAACTACTTTCCATACTCGTGAAGGATATTCTTCGACTGTATCCTGAGATGACGTTTTTAATTCTCCCGGAGGATCTTTTTTTATTCGGTTTAAGCTCGTGTCGATTTTACTTTCTACCGAAATTCTTCGTGAAGAGCTGTTCTTTGCTTCGGGCAACAAACCTCTTGTCGTTTCACATTGCAACGGATGAGTATTATAATCGTACGTAAATTGAAATTTCTGAAGAGGGAGAAAGATCTAATATGAAATCCATAAAAATATATTTTTTGCGTATTATATAGTAAATTAAATCTGTTTAATTTTAATTTACTACAAATAAAATACTGAAAAATAAAATAGGATTAATAATAATAGTCTTGAAAGTAAGATTACTTACAAGTTATGTACATGGGCATACGCAGAAAATTTTTCAAGGGAGTAAAGCTTGGAGACAAATCATTACATTAATAAATTTTTATTTAATTATTTAATTTTTGGAGGTTTTTCCACAAGTATAGTAGTAGTAGTAGACAAGTATATAGAATACAGTATTACATCAAAGAGTCCCATGACCACCGTGATACAATGAGGTTATGTATCTCAATCACTCTTACGATTGTAGTGTGTAGAGTTTTTTACTCGATCCCAGGAGGGGACACTTGTCCCCTCCTGGGATCGAGTAAAAAACTCTACACACTACAATCGTAAGAGTGATTGAGATACATAACCTCATTGTATCACGGTGGTCATGGGACTCTTTGATGTAATACTGTATTCTATATACTTGTCTACTACTACTACTATACTTGTGGAAAAACCTCCAAAAATTAAATAATTAAATAAAAATTTATTAATGTAATGATTTGTCTCCAAGCTTTACTCCCTTGAAAAATTTTCTGCGTATGCCCATGTACATAACTTGTAAGTAATCTTACTTTCAAGACTATTATTATTAATCCTATTTTATTTTTCAGTATTTTATTTGTAGTAAATTAAAATTAAACAGATTTAATTTACTATATAATACGCAAAAAATATATTTTTATGGATTTCATATTAGATCTTTCTCCCTCTTCAGAAATTTCAATTTACGTACGATTATAATACTCATCCGTTGCAATGTGAAACGACAAGAGGTTTGTTGCCCGAAGCAAAGAACAGCTCTTCACGAAGAATTTCGGTAGAAAGTAAAATCGACACGAGCTTAAACCGAATAAAAAAAGATCCTCCGGGAGAATTAAAAACGTCATCTCAGGATACAGTCGAAGAATATCCTTCACGAGTATGGAAAGTAGTTAAGGAAGAAGTTATTCCAGCNGTGTGTAGAGTTTTTTACTCGATCCCAGGAGGGGACACTTGTCCCCTCCTGGGATCGAGTAAAAAACTCTACAATCGAGTAAAAGTGGATCAAGTGTCCCGTTTGCCCCTTCTGTGTACACTCATACTTAGATATACAGTACCGTAATCTGTGGTCTTATCAGTATGTACTGTTTGTTAGTTTGTTAAGTTATGGCAACGCAACACTTGGGCGATTTGCCTAGGGGGCATGCCTTCCGGGAGGTCTTTTTAAGGGAAACTGGCCCCTATTTAGGCGTTACAGACGTGGAGAAAACCCGGAAAACTCCACGTGGCCGAACCCACTACCACGTGTTCCAGTCCCAGTGTTCAGGGTACGAAGACCGCTTGGCCACTGGTGGGCCGGTATGTACTGTACATCACACACAGGAAGACAAACTATAGCAGAATCTATCTTTCTAAACCTTTTTAAAATAATTTGTAAAATTTTAAGTGGAAAATAGCTTATACCACTCGAGTTTTAGCTATGTTTCTGTGGCATAAGAAGGATATACCAAGAAGACTCCAAATTATTATTTTTTATATCTTCAAGTTACATTTTTAAGAACTGTTTTAAAAAGTTTTAATTTTAAAAATAATGAAAATATATATATATTGCAAATATTTGCAGTTATTCTAATGTAACATTGTTATAATGTTAAATTAATTAGATGTGCTTACAGACGAAAAATTATAAAGAACTTATTGTTCTGAAAAAGAGGACGTTACTGCAGCGTTTGGATAGCTATTTTAAAATTTTTTTTTAGTGCTCTTTTCGCTCTATGGGCATTAAGAAGGTCAAATACTTTAATATCGTGGGTTTAATGCAGAGTGATCAGATCTGGGCCTGTCAAAAAATTCCAAACATTTTTTACGAACCACGTCTCCACCATCCGGCCTTACCGAATCCATGACAGATATGCAAAAATTTATTAGTGTCTACGGGGCGAAGAGTTAAAATAACCAAGAGTTTTGGGGTATTCATTTTTCTGTGGGATATTGTAACTTCACAAATAAGACGAAGTGCGCTTTTTCAGATCCTTTTTTTTTGGACAAAAATCGCGGCTTATATGCTGTAAAATACGTTACCTGTATTATAGTATTTGAATGCAGTATTAAAAATTAATAAATGAATCCGTAATTTATATTTGAATTGCTGCAGGCTTGTAAATATTTCTACATATTTTTAAAATAAATTAATTTTTTAACAAAGAATATTTACTGTCATATCTATCTTCAAAGAGTGATCCGAATCCAAGTGGAGAGGAGTATCAACTTCAAATCTTTCCTCCTTTTCCTTTTCCATCTGTTTATCCAGTTCAATAAAAGTATAACAACTTTTTAATATTTTGGCTAAAAAGTCGATAGGATTCGGCGGTCTTTTGACGCATAATTCGGCTAATGCAATAGCTAAATATGATCCAATTTCCTTTTTGAGGTAAATCACATTCTCCGATTCTTCTTTGGGATTCATCTGTAATAAAATACTTAAATATAATTTTAAGTTCATAAAAAGTATTAATTATGGCAATTAAATTGAAATAAAAGACATATATTAAGTTCTTAAGTTCAACAAAAATTTTTTATTAACAACATCCATGGGCGTTGACTCTAAGAGATCGTAATCCGTTCGGTTCCCGAAAATATTTTAAATGGTGCCGGCCTCCAAAGTTTTAGTATAAAAGTTACTTTTATCCATGACAACATCTATATTCGCAACCAAGGATTATAATATCTTGGTACACCTACCAGTGGCCGAATGGATAAAACCACTGAACACTGGTAATTGGTCGTGGAGTGTGCGTCTCACCAACGGGCTGGTCACGTGTTTTCCGGGTTTTCTTCACGTTTGTAACACCTAAATGGGGGCCAGTTTCCTGTAGAAAGTCCTCTCGGGAGACAACCCTCTCGGCAGATCGCCCACGAGTCGCGTTGTGTAGCCTTCTATCCACAGTTTGGGAAAATTTTCATGGTTATACATGTAATGCTTGTTTTATGATTTCTAAGATTTAAGATGGTGGGCCTGTAAATAACTAAAGTTTTTTAAAAATGGATTGACTTACAGTGTAAATACTCTAAGTAAATTGTTTTTTTTTTCACTCATGTTCATCTAGCCTAGTTTGTTAAGTTACGGCAACGCAACACTTGGGCGATCTGCCTTCCGGGAGGTCTTTTTAAGGGAAACTGGCCCCTATTTAGGTGTTACAGACGTGGAGAAAACTCGGAAAACTCCAAGTGGCCGAACCCACGACCGAACTCCCAGTGTTCAGGATACGAAGACCGCTTGGCCACTGGTGGGCACTCATCTAGCCTAGTTAATAAGCGTTCATGTGTTTAAAATTAAACGAATGATAATCGGTTAATACTGACTCTAATTCTTGGTTATGACATACGAGAGTTTTTTAACTCTTTCCCAACCCTGTGGGCACTAAGAGAATCCACGGGGCAGAGTCTTTTCCAGCAAACCCATTATGGGTTCTGCAAGCCCAAAATGGGGCGGCCGGATGGCAAGGGACGGGGCCCGATATATCCGGACGGACGGCCGGATGGCCGAGCGGTCAAGGTGGCAGCCTACCGCTCTAGGGAACCCGGGTTCAAATCCGAACGAATCGATAAATCTCCAGGAGTTTTCGGGGGTGGTCCGTCCGGATATGTCATGCCCCGTCCCTCACCACCCGGCCGCCCCATTGTGGGTCTGTCTGAACCCATAAACGGACTTGCTAAAAAAAAAAGGCCTTCTTAGTGCCCACAAAGCAGAGAGTTTAAAATATATATATATATATCAGGACGGACTCTCCCGAAAAATGGGGTTTTTTAACGACTAAATTCAATCTTTTAATATTATTTTATGAAATTCACTTACAATATAACTGTTTGCAATTACATAATGTAATGACATACCTTATTTTTATTTTTCGGCATTTTCAAAATTCGAATTCAAATAAATTTAAATGCATATAATAAAGAAAAAAAATATTTATATTTTTAAATGAAAAAAATGCCATATAATATTAATTATATTGTTATCAAATTGTTTATCGAAGCAATTAAATTATTATTATTATTATTGGATTTGTTTAAAATGTTTAATTTATTTAAAAATCTCTTAATTTCGATTAGAACCGCTAGAGGTCTCATTGTAAGTAGGTCATTGTCACATTGTCTCATATGAATAAATTTCAAAAAAATATTTTTTAAAAAGTGAAAGTCTTATATTAAAACAAATTTTTAATTAATAACAATAAATTTGATGGCGAGAAATTAATCTAAATACTTAATTTAAATTCGAAACGCATTTCGCGGGCAATTAACGAGTATTATTATTATTATTAATTACAATTAAATAAAAAAAAAATTTTATTTAACAGGTGTTAGTCGTTACTGATGGATATTCTTCGTCACAGTGCCATATTTAGGAATATTAGGTAAAATTATTAGTTTTAAACTGTAAAAATTCCATATTATATACTCTGACATGTAATTAGGAAGTAATTTGTGCTAATAATATGTAAAAATATGCTCCATTTTGCTTATTTTTGCTTTTATTTTGGTAGAAAATTACATTGACACTCCTCAACTATGACAGAAAGTAAAGGAATTACATTTTGCTGAATGTAATGATGTTTCTTAAGTCAATTTAAATATTAAAACATGAAACTTGACTGTAATATATCAAAAAAAGATATGTAAATTCTTTAAAATATAAAGAAACTAATAATTTGTGTGTAAAAGTGGATTGACATTGACATATAGAGTTAAACAGAGTTGAATATAAACTTCATCATTGACAATATGATAATGTTTTAATTAAACATTCCATTACTGGTTTTTGTGGATTTTTAAAAAAGAAATTAAAGCTATTGGCTTTTTTCCAGTAATATATCATAAAAGGTACAGTTATTAAATGGAGGAGATGCATTTTGGGTCTTAATAACCCCTCTTTGATCCTTATTCTTTACAAAAGGAAATGATAGATAAATATTATGTCACAGATAATATTTTTTATAAAAAATATTTTACTTAGCTGATGTTTTGTTGGATTAATGCATTTGATGAAGCTGGAAGGACAATAAACTTACAAAGCCAAACAAACTGTTCACACTTTTCCAGCAGAGGATTTATTTGGCAAATAAATGTTTTCTGCTTATTTTGTAAGCATGCCTCAAGTTTAGCTGTGAACTTCAAATATCTGATATTAGAAATTGGAATGCTGAATGTGTTCTACGACATGATATAAAATAAGCTGAAAACACTTGATGAGAAAGTGCAAAAGGTTTGGTTTTGTAAGTAAATGTTTTGATGGATGTGATATTTTTTTAAACCAATTTCAGTATTAAAATGTGAAGTTTGCTTTTGTAGTGTATTAAAAGTGAAAAGTAAATCCTTTAAAACATTATATAAACTAATATGTTTAATTAATATAATATTTTTGTTTAATATAAATCGTTGTTAACTTATGGAACTGAATACATGAACAGAATACATACTCTTTCCTCTTTGACATAAAATACAAGTTGTTCTTATGAGCTTCAAATATATTTGGTTGATTAATTTTTTGAAATTTTTTTAGCATGAGATTGATGCAAAGTTGATAGAAGGTGTTAATATCTATATTTATCAGTTGAATACCATAGCAACAGGTTTTATTTTTCGTTTGTTTGATGTTGCTATGGTAATACTTGATTCTTTTGTAAGACAGCTGGCCAATCTATTTCTCCAATGACATTGACATGTGTACCTCTTTGCTTTCTTGAATATCAAAAGTGAAATATTTCCTTTGTTCTAATACTTTTGGATTTCATATTTTATTTTGAAGTGGAGAGATCTATATGTAATTATGTTAATAAATAAATACTCCAAAATCAATTGAGAAAGTTACTGAATCTTTATAAGTATGTTTTACTTATATGGAACATAAATGACATTGAAAGTTTTAATATTTAATAATACCTATTATTATTATTATTGATGATGATATATTATTTTATTTTTTGTACAGTACCTATATAAGAAAATCTCAAAGAACTAGAAATTTAAGATGTGGAATATTAAGATGTACTTCTACGTAAAATGAGCATCAAAAATCTGAATTTGACCTTAAAAAAATGGATATTAACCCTTTTCAATGGTAACTTCATTGTTGATGGTTTTCCTTGTGCTATTAATGTTCTAACATTCATTCTTGGTAACTTTTTAATTTTGAAATTGTAATTAGTATATTTTTTGTTTAAATATAGTGATTCTGTAAATTATATTTGGAATCTTTGTAGGTATTCTTACATTCCTTGTGAAATACTGGTTTGAACTTAGACCATCTAAACTTGATTTACAGTGTATTTGAAATTTACAGTACCAAAAATGCTAACTTAGATGTGTATATTTGAAAGTCTGGATGGGATCTATCCCCACTTAGTCCAGATTTTCAGTGCTTCACTGAATATACAGTATAAATAATGGCTTAATGAGGTTGAGTAACTGAAAATGTAAATTATTAAAAACTTTAGTGAATTAAGTTGTGCATTTTTACTTTCCTAGCTATTATAACAAAGGGAAAGTATGGTGATCTGGCTAAAAATGACCCCGCAGATTTTTACATTTTTGGACTTAGGACACTTTGAAATTTCGAGAATGCAAAAAAATTTGGAGGTAATTTCTACGTATGGATGTTAGTTTGTGTGGGGCATGATTTTGTTCACTGTTTAAAGCTTAATAACTCCGGTGCTATTTGTCAAAAATTTCTGAAAATTTTTAGGGAGGTTTGTTTATTAGGGGGATTGATGCTATTAAATTTTGGTGATTAAACATCAAGGGGATGGGGAGATAATAAGAGCTATTTGTGTCTCCAATAGGATCTGACTTAATGACGATTTTATTTGTTATTAGCATTTACAAATTTTTATAAAACTCATCTCTACCCTCAAAATTAAGGTTTTTGCCATTTTATAATAATTAAAAATATTTTAAAATTTTTAAATAAAATAACAGATGGCACCACCAAAATTTAAATGTCGGGAAAGTTGAGGAACTCATTGCTAGTTTATTTATGATTTTGAATTTGAGATTCCTTCCTACACGAAATATGAGTCAGATTTGAATCTGAGTGGGAATGGAATTTTTCTCATATAGCTTACATATGGTGTTCTAAAAGATTGTCTTTCATTTCTCATTCTGTTTACTTAACATGCAGTATGTGTGTAAAGAAAAAAAATCAAGTATTAAATAAATTGACATCTTTAAGATTAATGCTAATGACTATATTGTTAGCAACTGTTGATTAAAATGGAAAAAAATTGTGACTAATTTTTTAGTTAGTAAATAATAATTTATGATAAAATTATTGAATTAGGAAAGTGTAATGCTTTAAATTAATTACAAATATACAGGCACTCTTCATTTAATGACTGAGTTCTATTCCTATAATTAGATCATTAAGCAAATTGGTCAATAAATGAGGAGCTTAATTGTTTTTTTATTCTTGGCAAAGAAAGGGTCTAAAGGAAACCCCAACTTGATAACTTTGCTTTAATTTTTGCATTTCTTACATATTACAGAATATAAAAATACAGTCAGCAAAAATGATTAAAATGCACCAAAAAAATGTCATTCAGATTAATATTTTAGTCATGAAATTCTTCAAGGAGTGGTAATGATTTCAGGTAATCAGAGTCATCGTTGGAGTTAACAGCAGGGATATCAGGAGCTGTGGAGGACCCAGGTAAGGGTAGGAGACTGCAAAGAAATTAAAAGTACTTTTAGGGTAGGAGTTTTGTATGTAGCTTTTGAGAAGAATCTCATTACTGTGATCTGCTTTGTAAGTTTCCTTTCTTCTTCATAAATTTTATAATAGCACTATAAAAGTTCATTCATTTGCAGTTCCACTTTTGTGAACCATTCAGAATTTTACTCTAGTTCTGATAAAGCAGCATTCAGTTTCAAGAACACTAAAGCTAACCCCTTTACAGGGAACTTCTTTTGTACTTCTATTCTTAACTCTTCTTGTTACTCTTCCAAGTGCTGCTATGCTTCCAACTCTGTTGCCCTTCTTTCAGTTCTTGGTGCTTTCTCTGGGCTTTTTCTTTTCACTGACATCTTTTACTATGGGTTCACAATAAAGTACAAATTTATAAATGAAATATGTACTTTAGGAGATTGCAAATGCTTTATATAGTAGATACTGACCAACTGCTAGAACAAGACTAAAACTACAAAAGGGGATTTCCGAGCCTCAGACTGAGAAAGTGGATTCCCCTGTGATGGAGAGCTGGTTGTAAGTCCAAGTAGTTATGAAACAGATAGGTCATTAAGTGAGGACTGGCTATATAAATATATATATTTTTATGTTTTACTGTTTTATTGTCTATTGTTTATTAAATATCTTATTCAAATTTAAATTACTATATCCCTTTTTTATTTTTTAAGTTAAACTTTGTTTAAATCAGATGATTTTAGATTAAGATGGAAATTCTTTAAAAAAAATTACAATTTTTCAATTTATAAAAAATTTACATTCATTACACACATTGTCCAAGTTACTAAGAAGTTTATTACTGTATTTTTAAAGTAAGAATAAAGTATTCAAACTTAAGCACTTTACTTAAAACAGAATATTTTATAACAAAACAGAAAATAAATGACATAATTCAGTTCCATGCCTCCATGTTGCTATAAATATGAATAATAAATTATTCTAAACAGGTTTTTGTTACTAAAGCAAAATTTAAATTGAAAGAGTTATTGTATATCTAAAATTTTTAATTATTCAAAAGTTTTCTTTAAGGTTTTTGTTTTCTCAATAATTTCCCCTGAATCTAGGAATGAAATAATATTCCAAAATACTTCAAGGAACTAATGCATTCTTTCAAAGAAGAAATTTCCTTTTAGAGAATTTGTTGGTTCCCTAAAGTAAGCATTTTGGAATATTA